TATAGAAATAAACTGAATTGAATTGGGATGTTTATCTTGAGTTTAACTGGGCGGTTTACCAGCTGATAGAAGGAAAGCTTTGGCCCGTCATGGGCAGCCATGAACCACCAGGCAGCAGCTCCCACTGTGGCTGCTCCAACATAACCTGCATGAAAACAGAGAGTTAGGAGATGGTCCTACCCACCAAAGAACAAACACGCTGCTCATCACCATCTAATCTAGAGACAGCCGAGGTCCAGGCCGCTGACTTACACCCGATGATGAGGTAGCGGCAGAACAGCCAGCTGGAGATCAGCGGCTCCTTGGGAGACCGCGGAGGACGAGACATGATGTCCAAGTCTGGAGGGTTGAAGCCCAGAGCGGTTGCTGGGAAACCGTCAGTGACCAGGTTGACCCACAGCAGCTGGACCGGGATCAGAGCTTCTGGCATGCCCAGGGCAGCAGTCAGGAAAATGCTGAGGGATCAACAAGAGGACAGCAGGTTTTCACCTGACACACCGCGGTTCAGTCTTTGGTTTATTGGCACAGAAATCCGTCCCACTAACCAGACCACCTCCCCGATGTTGGACGAGATGAGGTATCGGATGAACTGCTTCATGTTGTTGTAGATGGCTCTGCCCTCCTCCACAGCAGCCACGATGGTGGAGAAGTTGTCATCTGCCAGGATCATCTCTGAGGCTGACTTGGCGACAGCCGTGCCGCTGCCCATGGCGATGCCGATCTCTGCCTTCTTCAGGGCGGGAGCATCGTTGACGCCATCGCCTGTCTGGGACCATGGAAGAGGAGGAGCCAGAGAAACAGTGACGATGGTGGAGGAGACAGAATCAGCATCATTATCCGTTTAAACCAGTTTATGGTTTAAACTGCATTTCTGATAGGCCATCTTTTCTGCAGTGGAACAAGACGCTCTCACCATGGCTGTGATGTCACTCAGGCTCTGCAGATACTCCACGATGCGACTTTTGTGGGCCGGTTCCACGCGGGCAAAGCAGCGAACGCTCCGGCAGGCCTGGCGCTGCAGATGAGGGGGCAACTCATCAAACTCCCTGCCTGTCAGCCCCCCGATCGCCCCCCCGACCTCGCGCTCCTCCTCCTGCTCCGTGATGATGCCCACTCTCCTGCAGATGGACAGGGCCGTCCCCTTGTTGTCCCCTGGATGGAGGAGGGAGAGGAGATGATAGTTTCTGGTTCTTAGAAACCTGCGTCTGTTCTTCACACTGCTGAGAGGCTGAATTCTATTTTTTTTTTCTTTTATATTTTATTTTACATAAATTGATCGTTTGATTATCGGCTCAGAATAAATTGTAAGAGGTCTCCAGGAGTCAGAGCTGAAAAGCCCACAGGATGCTGCTGCCATCGACCTGCGGATGTAAATGTTGCTTTTGTGTCAAACACACATCATGATCATTGGATCCTGGGCTGATTTTGCAAATCGATTAATCGATCAATTCATTTTGATTAATTGATTAAAACTCCAACAGCCGGAGAAGTTTTATGAAATTAAACCAGGTGAAACTCAAACTTTTCCACTTGTGAAGTTCTGGGTAGAGCAGATTGACTGATGAGTTTTTAATTTATCTAAAAGGCAACATTTTTATATATTTTTTACATTCTTGGTATAACTCCTGCTCTAAGTGGGTCGCTCTGTCGGCTACAGACACATTTTAGAGTCTCTATTCTTTCCGTTAACAACGAATAAATTACTAAATTAGTTGAAGATTATTTCCTTAATCGATTCATCAGATGAATTGTTTCAGTCCTAATTGGATCCTTACTCCTGCAGGCGGTCCAGAGTTCACCTTAGACAGCCTTTGACTGCAGATCTTAGATGTTTCCCCGTTTTATTTTTGTAATGTCCTCCAGAGTTTCCAGACCTGCGTGTTGTCTCTGACGGTTGCTCTGTCTAGTAACCTAAACTTGTTGCAGACATATTAAGGGAGTGGTTAGGGCTTAGAGCTTGGATCCCAGAGGCTCCCAACAGACTGCCACTCTGGGTCCCTGAGCAAGACCCTTAACCCGACACTGCTCCCTGGGCGCTGCACAATGGCAGCCCACTGCTCCCCAAGGGTAAGGTGCAGATGTGAATTTCATACTAGTGACAGTGTAACGAAAATAAAGTAGAATTCTATTTTATATTTCTATTCTACATATGGAGGACACAGCGACTTCCATCCCATAAAAAACAAAAATGAGCCCCTGAATGTGAGCATTTCAGACCCATCCTGTCGTGGTTCATGTTTTCACTGCTTAGTCGCTGGTCTCCTGACTAATACGGCTCCACTAATGATGCCTTCAGCTCCAAACTGTTTCAGAATCTAATCATTTCTAATATTTCTAATAATTATTTATTATTTATTTCTTTTCCATCCAAAACTCATTTGTTTGTTCTTCTGTAGAACTGAGGAGGAGAAAGGCTGCATCTGAACTGGAAAGACAATCTAATGTCCAAGAACACAATGGCTTTGTTGGGTATAGTCTTCTGTTAGACCTACTGCATCCAGTTACTTTGGTTTAAAATACTGTTAATCCTAAAGACCAAACATTGACCAATCATTGCATGAGTAGGGAGCATCAGGGGTGTCAGTAATGGAGGCTGAGGTCTCTGTTGGTTGGTCTGGTTTCCATCGTTTAAACTGGCCTCTGTGTTTAGGGTTAGATCAGCCTTTATCCACTCATAGGGAGATCAATGCCACACAAACCTGTGATCATGATGACCCGTATGCCAGCACGCCGACACATCTGAACTGCTCCCAGGACCTCTTTCCTGGGGGGGTCCAGCATCCCCACACAGCCAACAAAGGTCAGATCCGACTGAGAAGCAGACAGAAGTAAAGATGAAAGAAGAGAAGGAGGCCGGGTTCTGTTTTATTTCACTGTCTGCTGTTAATAAGTAGGATTAATGTGTTAGAAACTAATCGGTCCATCAGAACCTGACCCTGAGCTCAGCCTAGACTATCATCAGCACCTCGTAGTCCACAAAGCCTGCTGAGTTCTCCAGGTTGAGGGAATGGATATCAGGTGGGGTGTCCCTGGTTGCCATGGCAAGGCACCGCAGCATGTCTCGTCCTGAGCCCCACTCTCGTATGGTAGACAGGAGCTGTTCTCGAACAGCCGGGCTCATAGGTACACGGCCAGAACCGCTGACCCGGATGTGACTGCAGCGTTCCAACAGGCTCTCTGGAGCCCCCTGGGGGAACAAGACACAGCAAGACCCATGAAGACCAACGAGGTCTGTTTGGAGGCAGCAGATGAACAGACATGAGGTGGAACTGACCTTCACGAACATCTTAGCCCCAGAGGCAGATGGGGACAGTTTATTGGGGAAGCAGAACACAGACATGGACTTTCTGTCTCTGGAAAACTCTAGAGTCAGCTCCTTCTTCATCAGCTGTTTAATCATCTGAAAGGACGAACGTGAAACAAATGAAAACAATAAATACAATAGGTTATGCTTTTCAAGAATAAAGTCGTGAAAATATGAGAATAAAGTCGTAAAATTATGATAAGTTTTATTTTATGACAACTCCTACAGGAATCACTGTCTTCCCAGCATTCCCAGCATTAAACTGGGCAGAATTTCAGAGTGAAATCAGGTTGCTGATTGATGGAGCTGGTCGGCAGTCATCTGTTGGGCGGAGCTCCAAGCTTTCTTTCTGAAACAGGTTGTTGATGATTTTGTTTTCGTAATATTCCGACTTTATTCTCGTAATATTACAACTTTATTCTCGTAATGTTAGGACTTTATTCTCGTAATGTTATGGCTTTATTCTCGTAATATTACGACTTTGTTCACGTAATGTTAGGACTTTATTCTCGTTATATTACGACTTTGTTCTAGTAATGTCTAAACTTCATTGTCATAATGTCATGACTTTATTCTTGTAATGTCACAACTTTATTGTCGTAATGTTAGGAATTTATTCTCGTAATATTACGGCTTTATTCACGTAATGTTACGGCTTTATTCTCGTAATATTACGACTTT